ACAATGAAAGCTAACAGGTCCATAAGATTGTCTTAACTGATGCTAACACACACAAATCTGTTAAAATCTCAACAAAAGTACTCAAGGGTTTTGTGAACCTTTAAAAAAAGCACATGAACACAGAGTTATAGAAACCTAGCTATTGTATTATATGCCAAAAAACCTAAAGCTGTATTCAGAGGTGGATTTAGTCATAGGCATTATGGCCGATTGCCCAGGGCGGCATCTTGCTCGGGGCGCCACGGAGAGACGATGCACAAAAACAAAAACGTTCCCCAGTAAAAATAATCTGTGGCCCAGTAAGCTTTGAGATACGATTTACTTTATGCGAGCGTATTAATTTAGAGTGGTAATCCCAGAATAAAGACGTTAGGGGCCATTTACATTCGCACATGCAAGTTTGGTATTCTTTTTGTGTAACCAAAAAAAGCTGGTGAAAGCAAACTAGGGGCTGTATATGGGGTGGTTTGCCCAGGGTGCCATTTAAGCTAGAACTGCCAATGACAGTATTAAACTTAATGTTCACACTTTAAAAGCCCCTATTCATCATTTGACTCATTGACGTTTGATTATTTTCCAGCTTTGTTGGGTGCTGTACTGTGATATTATGTGTTTGGATTACGATGGGAACTTACTTGACGCCTGCATCACAGTTCTGCTGGCAGCTTTAAAAACCGGTGAGGGCATTTTCTCCCTAAATAACAGTTCCTTCAGCTGTTATGACCACTAACAAGATCATATTTCTCAGCACAACTCCCTGAAGTCACCATAAACAAAGAGACAGATCTAGCAGAAGTTGACATTGAGAAGAAGAGGCGCTTGAAGATCAACCGGCACCCAGTCGGCTCATCGTTTGCAGTATTTGATGAGTAATTCACATACTTCCCTACTATACAAATGCAGTATAGGTTGATGTTTGATTAGGGTATGTTTACACAGTTTTCAATTTTTTGAAAGCCTGAAACATTTCAAGACAGGTTTCAAAGTGCAACAAGTTTGTAAATATTGTAGTATTGTTGTTGCATACTACAAAAATGCTAAAGCGTGTATTTTGAGTTCAGTCTAAATGCATTTTTGATTATTTGACAACCAAAACAACCATGGCAGACTACAGAAGCATGTGGGCACGGATGCTTCTTTGCAAACTGACCCGCCATCTACTGGCCTGGCATGCACTGTACAGCCAATTTACACATTTCATTTATTCTGATCAGTTCAAATGAAGATTTTGATGAACTTTCCAATTGTATGCCAAAATTTCAAATGGCGCAATTTTATTTTATTTTTTACATCTTTGTCATGTAAACATACCCACAGAAAGAAAGCATGGAGGCCAGATTACTATTAAAAATCCTTTAAAAGACATTGTGTGACAGATTACCTTTTTGATTGTATCTTTATGCAGCTCCATCATTATAGTTGACCCCACGGCGGAAGAGGAAAGCTTGTCTACAGCATTAATGACTGTGGTGACGGATGAGGAGGATAGACTCTGTGCAGTTCACAAACCAGGTTAACACAATACAGGTTATTTAAAGTATCAGGGATGCAAACTCATCTGAAGTGAAAAGGCAACAGACTTGATCACTGAGAGAAAAGTAAAACATCTGCTTTAAAATGTGGATTTACCATCAGTTTTATTATTCTCATTATACTTCTACTCCCCTTTGAGCATACTTGGCTAAAGGGATAGTTTGCAGTTAATTTACTCACCTTGAAGACATGCCTTTTCTTTTCTTCAGAGGAACTTTAAAGAAGATTTTTAGCTGAAATTGTGGTTCATAACATGCAATACAGAAGCTACTGGCCATTAAGAGTCAATTACAGGCAACACAAAATACATTAAGGTCTTCTGAAGCTAAATGACCAGCCTGTGAAAGAAACTTACATCATTATTACTCTGAAAACAAGTGAAAGTGCATTGACAACGAGGAGCTTAAGGCTGATGTATATATGCTAGGTAATGTTAAGTTTGCTTGGGTGCACATGGCAAATATGACAATCTCGACATTGGCGGAAGTTTATTTTTAGTGCGCAAGACTTCATTTTGGCTGCTGGTGTGCACAGCATTGTTTTGTAACTAAACATGTTACTTCAAAACAACTTAAAGAAAACAATGTATAAGTATCTATACAATAAGGTTGGTGTTAGGTAATGTTAGTTAATGTACAAATAAACAAACAATGAACAAAACATTTATTACAGTATTTGTTCATGTTTGTAAATGGAAATAAAGTTGTTTGTTCTTAACTTTTTCATTTTAATAATGCATTATTAACGGCTGAAACCTACTATTGAAACCTTATTGTAAAGTATGACCCATATATATTGTGTACATGTGGTTCAAAGCTTTTTAAGTAATATTATTGTATATAAAGTTTTGCATATATCCACAACCCAATCAATCAATCAATCAATCAATCATTCTCTCTCTCTCTCTCTCTCTCTATATATATATATATATATATATATATATATATATATAATTACTGAAAAATTTAATTAATTAATAAAAAATAATAAATTATATATTTTTTGCCGCAACAATTTAGCAAAGTCATCTCCTGTTATATTGTTGTATTGACTTAACATGTAAATCACTTAACGCTTCATCCGCTTCTGGTGTGAACGCACCCTTACAAATAATAGTACAACGATATTTAAAGCCTCTACAACTAGAATCTATGTGCACAGAGTCAGCTGAGGCTCCCGCTTTGGAACCGAGTGAATGTATAAATCCAGCTTTATACTTCAGACAAACACGCTATACACAGAAAAGTTTTTTTTTTTTTTTTTTTGAGTGAACAATTCTTTTGACAGCATGAGTTTAAGCCTTCATCGCATTCACACAAATAATTCAAATGACCCATTTTGGATCCAAAACTATAATTTAGTTTGAATTTATAAATAACTTTCGTTTGTATGCTTCAGGTGGGACATCGTTATCCGGCGAGAAGCTACAACACTGCATAAACAGAGCCATCACAAGAAACAAAGAGATCAGAAAACTGCTGGACAAAGTCCACGAGAGCACGAAGACCATGAAATAAACACAGAATCACAATGTTTTGTTTTTTTTATCTAAAAGTTGTATTTTCACTGTCAATATATACTTTCTTTTTTATCACAATAAAACTGCCGACAAAGACCATTTACAAAAATTCTGCCTCAGTGTTCAGAAATGTCGTCCACTCACATGGTTTAGACTTATTTTTTTTTCTCCATAAGAATATACATCATCAACTCCACTTTCAGTATAACAAAATGCCATAGTTTTCTAAAATGTGCCGTATAAAAACCGCACATGTACTTGCATGCTGGGATGAGGCGCTCTATCGCTCCGACCCCCAGCAGAAGAGAGATTTTCCTCGTAACGGTAAAGTTGAGCAACAGGTGATTGAGGCACATCTGCACGGCCCTTATTAGTGTGCGTAGGGTCCAGCCAAACAGGCTTTCGTTTGGAAGGAGAATAAACACAGCATGCTGTGGAGAACCCTACATTTCATAATGTTGTATTTCTTTTAAAATACTGTAATACTCTTAAGGTCCCCCTGCTCTAAAATAAATCCTCGCTGTGAGTACATCTATTCATCTAGCCTGAGGGAGGTCAGACGGGAAATTCCTGCACTCCTATTGATGTAATGTAAAAAATAAAATAAAAAGTCCGGTCAAAAGCTGCAATCAGTCTGTGAAATGCTGCAGATGGAGCACAGTGCTGTTTGTTGATGTCCGGGTTGTGGGCGGGGCCGAGGTCATGATTTGGAGAGGGGCTGCGGCGTGCTGCGCTTCCGTTTACTTTTTGGCTGGTTGGCGGAATGTGGGCGTGGCAGAGCCGCCTGTGCCGCCGCCCCCACTGCCATACCCATTTGCTGCTGTTGCATTTGGTGCTGCAAGAATTGCAACTGTGCAAAAAGGAAGAGCAACAGATAATGATTTTTTTTGCATGTTAAACTATACCAACAATCAACAGCAACTATGCTTCAGAGGCAACTCTTCCATTTAATCATGCAAAATAGTGATAAAAGCTAATCATGCACTTAAATTAGGGCTGCACAATTAATTGTTTCAGCAATAGACAGATTACAAGTTCTGCAATGTTGAGTTTGAATTATAATTGACCAAAAGCTAGAGAATGCATGGGGTTTAATATCTGTGATGGAGTGTTTTTAAGGCCTGTAACTGAGCATTTCAATAGAGTTTAAAACATTTGAGTGCAAAAAAATTATGAAGTTTGGGGGTGTAACACAGATTAATTGTATTTGTTTATACAGGAATTTTTTTTCATAGAATTTGTCTCTTGTTTCTAGTCCTTTAATCTACATTTCAAAGCAGAAACAAGATTATTTTACTTACCAATTGGCAGATATTTCAGCTTGTTTTAAGAAAAAACTAAACTTAATTTTGACTTTCTTCTGAAGGTGAAAACAAAACAATAATCACTACTTGATTAAGCATTTTTGGATATTTGTACAAGAAGCAAGCAAGCAAAAGTAATTGAAGGAATTTGATGATTTTAACTTTGTCCTATGCATTAATAGTTTAATTCTGTTTTTAACTAATTGCATGAACTTATGCTGATTTATCCTCATATAACCTTATGTGCTTAACCTCTTATAACCTTGCCTGAGAACAGCTGTGGCTTCGTGTGTCTGATAAGAAAAGTTGAATACGGAGAACTTGTTATCAGCAAAATGTTACAAATCTTTCCTTTAGGCTGCGCTGCTTCTTCTAGGCACGGATGGCAGGGTGCAGGTTCCCTCTCTCTTGCGTGTTCTGTGTGTAACTTTTTCTGTGCAGAGTAGCGGTTCCACCTGATTTCTGGTGCGCGCAGCTGACACAGACTGCCTGTGCGGCTGTTCTCTGCCACCCAGGGCCCTGTATGCTTTATCCATTTGATTCATTAAATTGATCTGAACCTATCTGAAGCTTCGGACCGATCTTTTGCATTGTGACTATTTAATTTCTGTATATGGATCAATTTAAACTCCCCAGAAAACTGTCAAATAGAGCTATTCAAACAATCCTGTGAAACTGTATGGTCATATTTAAATCACAGAAAAATAAAATGGCAATATCTGATTTTTCCAATATTGTGCAGCTCTAACTTGAACGATGACTGGACTTAATGTGAGGAAAATTTGCTATTAAATACTTAATTGAAAACTCTTTATTTATTTATTTTATTAAAGGCTTATTTTACAAGGTTCCTTCTGAAAAAAGCTGATTCTCATTCACGTTGTAATATCACTCCTGGTGCAGCAGCAGGGTTTCTTGGCTGTTACGCTACAATAAGAGTATAAATCCTAGTAACATTAGCCTAGAAAATAGTCATTATTTATTTTCTGTCGGTTTTGTTACATGAAGACTAGCTATAAATAGGACATATATCAAAAGCCTTTACTGAATTGAATGCTAATGGTCAAATCAGATTTAATCTATTATACGAAGCTAAATTTAACCTCGCAAGAGCAAGCAATCGGTTGAATGGATTTAAAAATGGTTCAAGTCAACCAATGAACACTAGGAGACTTGAAAAATTAGCCTTGCTCAAAAAGAAAAAGTGAAAAAAAAGTTATTTCAAGACATACACTACTGTTTGTTCAGTCAGTAAGACGATTATACTATGAAATTGTACTGCAGTTCTTTTGGCCCTCAAAGAATCATCACATTTTATTAAAAATATCTAGTAAACATATTTAATTAAATTCTTGTTGTAATTATCAGCCAAGATATCTCAATGAGCAAAATAATTTTCATAATTTACCTAAAGTTCTGTACCAAGAATTAACAATGTATTACAAAAATAAGTATAGTTTTAGCTTTTACTACAATATATTTTAGATAATATATTTTTTATTAGATTAACTTGTAATGTGACATTTCAATTCAATAAGCTTCTTATTGACCGCAAACTTTTAAACATTAATGTAAATTGTGCTTGTGTTTATTTATTCTTTTATTTTTATTTTTTGAAGGAGCTGATGATTAAAATGTTATAATATTTCGTTTACGAAAAGATTTTAGGGAACACAACATAATATACACTCACCGGCCACTTTATTAGGTACACTTGATTAACTGCTTGTTAACGCAAATTTCTAATCAGCCAATCTCAATGCATTTATCCATGTAGACATGGTTAAGACGATCTGCTTCAGTTTAAACCGAGCATCAGAATGGGGAAGAAAGGTGATTTAAGTGATTTTGAACGTGGCATGGTTGTTAGTGCCAGGCGGGTTGGTCTGAGTATTTCAGAAACTGCTGATCTACTGAGATTTTCAAGCACAGCCATCTCTAGGCCTTACAGAGAATGGTCTAAAAAAATATATATATATCCAGTGAGTGGCAGTTCTGTGGACGCAAATGCCTTGTTGATGCCAGAGGTCAGAGCAGAATGGCCAGACTGGCTTGAGCTAATAGAAAGGCAACAGTAACTCAAATAACCACTCGTTACAACACATCCAACCTTGAGGCGTATGGGCCACAGCAGCAGAAGACCACACCGAGAGCCACTCCTGTCAACTAAGAACAGGAAACTGAGGCTATATTTCGTACAGGCTCACCAAAACTGGACAATAGAAGATTCAATAAACGTTGCCTTGTCTGATAAGTCTCGATTTCTGCTGCGAAATTTGGATGGTAGGGTCAGAATTAGGTGTCAAAAACAACAAAACATGGACCATCCTGCCTTGTATCAACGGTTCAGGCTGGTGGTGGTGGTGTAATGGTGTGGGGGATATTTTCTTGGCACACTTTAGGCCCATTAGTACCAATTGAGCATGGTTTCAACGCCACAGTCTACCTGAGCATTGCTGCAGACCATGTCCATCCCTCTATGGCCACAGTGTACCCATCCTCTGATGGCTACTTCCAGCAGGATAACGTGCCATGTCATAAAAGGCGAATCATCTCAGACTGGTTTCTTGAACATGACGATGAGTTCACTGTACTCAAGTAGAGCACCTTTGGATGTGGTGGAACGGGAGATTTGCATCATGTCAATATGGACCAAAATCTCTGAGGAATACCTTGATGAATCTGTCACGAAGGATTAAGGCAATTCTGAAGGCAAACGGAGTCCAACCCTGTACCTAATAAAGTGGCAGGTGAGTGTATAGTATTATAAATAATATTACCTTTAACAGTATTATCAACTCCTTAACGGTCACCGTGCCACAAACACATTTTTCAGTGCATTTCAATTAATGATCATAACAATAACACATCATAAATCCTAATAATAGATCAAAAGAATGCGTCTGCTAAATAACTAAACGTAAATATCATTTTTATCTAAAGCTGAACTTATCTTGACAAACTAGATATCATTGGCATATATAATGCACCATTTTCAAGTGTGACCTCAAAAAGTGGGGTGTCAGTTAAGCGTACATTTAAATAAATCTTTAAGTGTTAGATAGCAGCAAAGGTGATATTACTACAAGACTGAAACTGAAATGAAAGGTCTCTAACCGATAATGAACTAGGTCAGTTAAAGGAAGAGTTTGAACTAAAGCAGAGCTGCTAAAATCAAAACTTCTCTTCATAAATACTGCAGTGAAAGTAAATGCAACACAGAAATCAACAGTGTTTGCAGAAGCTGGAAAGAGGAGGAATGAACGATTCAATGGGAGGAAAATGTGAATGACAAACCGAAGAGCAGGAAAGAATGAAGCAGAAGCCTTGGAAAAAGGGCAGTTTAAAGGTACAGTTCATCCAAAAATGAAAACTCTGTCATCATTTACTTCACTTGTTTCAAATCTGCTTCACTTTTCGTCTTTTGAACACAAAACAAGATATTCTGAAGAATGTTGGGGGAATGTTCCTATTATAAATGTCAATGGCTGCTTTTTTCCAAAAATCTCTTGTTTTGTGTTCAACAGAAGAAAGATACTGATAAAAGTTCAGAATCACTTGAGTGTGAGTAAATGGTAAGGAAATTTTCATTTTCGGGTGAACTATCCCTTTAGTAAAAGTGCAATGCAGCTGTTGTTTGGGAGTTCTTCTGTAGCATGTACGGACACACAGCCATGCTCTTGTTTAGTGTCAGCAAGACAGCAACTTCAACTTGCATCTAAAAGGGGAATAATTGAACTGTTGGGCTGTTAAACTACAAGTACTCTTCAGCTTTTTTACATAGTAGATTCTAATTTATACATTT